CAATAAGGCCCAAAGGACATCTCACCTGGCCCTGGGTGCCATAGAAACGTGTCTGATGAGCCTTGCCCCAGCGCTTTGGGGTGTCTGGCACAGCCCTGGCCCCATCCCCAGCCCTTCGCGGAGTCCTGCGCTCTGTGGCACAGCCCGGCCGCCTCCTCCCCGGGGGCTGCGGGCAGGGCCGGGGGCATCGCTGTGCTCCGGCCTGCTGGGCCCGTCCGGAGCCGCAGCTGCTGCCGTGGGCCTGGGGATGGGGACAGGCTCTGGGAGCAGGGTCTCTGTTCGGGTCTGGCCGGGGAGGCGGATGGTGGATAAAAAGCGCCTCCATCCCCTGCCCGGCGTGTGTGTCCCTCCGAGCCCTGCCCTGTTTCGTGGGGAGGGGGTGTTGGGGTAACCCCTGCTCGTGCAGCAATGGCTAAAGCAGCTGCTGAAGGCGCAGTGGAGCTCTTGAGAGCGCTAGAAACAATTTAAGCAATGTTCTGTGCAAACAGCTCCCCGGCCTTTGTGCGAGGGGCCCGCCCGGCCCCGCAGGAATGCGCTCGCACCGATAACCCACAGCTCCTTTTGTAACCTTCCTTTGGCCCTTCAGGCTGCCCCCCGCTCCCAGCCTGGCGTTTGGAGGTCCTCCTTTTACAATAAAACCAGGAAAACAAAACCAGAGTTATCACCAGTCCATGCCGCGCTTTCTCCAGCCCCCCTTTTCTAGTCATTATGAAAGCGAGGCACTTTAGGAGGACTTCAGCTCTCCCCGTGGGTCTCCCCAGAGGCAGAACTTGGGTTTTGCTGCACAGATTCCCAGTTCCAGCAGGCTCTGGGTGAAGCTGGCTTTGTGCTGCCGACCCGGAGCTGGCGCTGCAGCAGGGATGCGAAGGTTTGAGTTCCAGCCATCCATCAGCTGCTCATCCACTTGCCAGCGCCACTGCTCTCCTGCCATCGATCATGTGGGAGCCCCAGGGAGGCTTTGCAGCCCTCTTGCTCCTACCATGGCAGCTTGGCAGGGTGTCAGCAGCACGGGGAGCCCCGAGCCCGCGGGGCCTGAGCTCAGCCACAGAGCTGGGACCTTCCACCTTGTCCACAACACGTCTCCTTGGCCCTTGGGACTGGCATCAGCATCTGTCCTGTCTCTTCCTGTCGTGGCATCAGGGCGAGATCGAATTCAAGGTTTGTGCTTATTCATGGAAGTGCTTCAGAAAACCCCATAGGTGGGGAGAAGGATTTGCAACAGGCTGCCAGGGAAAAAAAAGGGAACAGGATTAGGCTGGTGCAGGGTGTGTATGAAAATTGCACAGCCTCAGGCTGGCCTCCAAAGCAGCCACAACCCTTTACATCCTCAGTCACCTGATTTTGTAAGGGTGGAGACTGTCCCTTCTGCAGCAGCATCAGCATCATGCTCAGCAGCTTTTGGGCTGCCCAGACCTGGAGCAGGACATGGCCAAGCCAGGTACCACCTTTGTACCCAATGTTCCCAACTGCTGCATCTTCCCAGTCATGCTGCCAGCTTCATTTTTCCAAATGGCTTTGTTTTACCTCTAATGTCTTTGTTCA